CCTCCCGTAGCGTTCTAAAAGTTATATCCTAACAAATTATACTCTTCACATGCCATGTAGTTTTATACCTCCTTGCTTTCTTTCACAGTTCTAGTCTCCTAGAATGTCCTCCCGAACCCCAAATGTAGGTTCCCCAGTGCTACCATTCTTTAGAACTCCAGTCTCTGACAACTTTCCTTTTCCTTATAGCTCAATCTGTGAGCATCTTCTCTCCTAGCTCTGTGTTCTGAAACCTCTCCTGGTTCACTCATCAACTTTTTCCTACCCTTTGATGGTAAGATGCATTTCCAGTTTTTCTGTGGTTACTCAAAAAGTAAAGCTCTGTATGAATATTAGATGGATAACTGTTAAATACAAGTTGACCATTAGTATTTGAAAAATAACACATTAACAACTGCAGATCATAGCATAAACTGTACTTTGTACAAAGTGGGTGATAGATAAAAATATATTTATAACAATGAACATTATAAAATAATAGCAATAAATTTTTAGTGAGTGCTTATGTGCTAGCCACCACAGAGAATGCTATATATATATTATCTCTTTTAGTCTTTACAATATCTATTTGAATAGGTACTGTTAATTTCCATTTTACAGACGAGAAAGTGAGATTTAAAGAGGTTAAGTAAGGTGCTTAATTTGAATACTTAATTAGGAGTCTAAGAAAAATAAAAAAGTGGAATTTAAATCAACCTCAATATGACTTCAATCCATGCTCTAAAAATTACATTAATTTAAAAGAATTGTTACTATTATACAAGTCTAAATGGTTCTCATTGCATATCATAATTATTGTTTTTATGAACTTGGGACATCAAATGTTATACATGTTAATTTTTATATTAGAAAAAACTAAAAACCTGTTCTTGAAATACATAGCAGAGCAAAATTGTTTTCTTGGGTTTAAGCAAATGCTAGATGTGGAAGACCATATCAAGTTCATTACTATTTTTAATGAAAGTCATGGTCATGTGACTATTATAGAAAGTAATAGTCACATGACAATCATACACTGAGCTCACCATTCATGTCTGTGGAAATGCAAAGTCCCAACAGAAAGCATCACTATCTCTGGGAAAACTCCAGGACAGCAAAACAAAACAACCCAAGAYAATAATTATTCTAAAATAAGAATATTTAAATTGCTTTTAGATGTTTGAGACTAGGAATTTATGAAAGAGGATTATATGAGGAAGAAAATGTTGTGGGCTTATATTGCTATAAGCATCATAAGACAAAGTGATTATAGTGTAATGAAGGACATGAGATATAAATGTAAATCACAGATTACAGGTAAGAATGAACAACTGATATACAAAGAATCAGCCATGTGTAACTTATGATACTACTGATTATTCTGTATTGTCCCTAAAAATTAAAATTTTGATCCCCATGTAGTAAATACATTTTCTTCTTGGTATTACACAGCACAGAAATCAGTGGTAACATGTTAATGAAATTAACCTTCATCTTTTACAAGACTTGCAGAAAAAAATAACAAAGAAAAATTATCATGTAATTTGTTCTCCAAAATTATTGAACTAAAAGATGTCATTTATTATATTCACATKATAATATAAATAAATCATATTATATCTTATTCTTCTTTTTACCTGAATCATTTTATTTAATAAAATGTGTTCAAAGTTAATTTTGGTACCAAAAAGCAGATAGTCATCGTAGATAAGTTTTTTTTGAAAAAAATACTTCTCCATGTGTTAGGCAATTAATATATTATTTCAATTAGTGCTTCAATTAATAATAATATATTACTTCAATTGAATACTTTGCAGCAAGTATTATTATCACTGCCATTTTATCAAGGAAGCAAAACTACCGCTTGGAATGCATAACTGGTCCAGAATTACTAGATAGTAAATGATTTGAGATTGGAATCCAATTTGACCAATTTCTAGGTTTGTAGGCTTAATTCAGTTGTTAGCCTGCTTCAGTGATGGATGGATTAAGGTATGAGTCACTCTGGTGATTTTATTGCCAGCTAATTTGATAAACCTTTCTTACAGCTACTGCAATATTTCCACACTAACATGACTTCAACAATAGACGACAAATCATTCAGAAATTAGTACATGCTAGTGACAATGACTTACAAATGACAGAAATACTTTGTGACTACATGAAGTTTACAACCTACCAACATTCATATATGTCAATTATTGATCTGCCCACCTCCTTTCCTACTGCCCACCTACTTCCATACCTCAATACATYTACTTTCTTATCAACTGCTAGGATTCTTTTATTTGCAAAACAAATGAATAAGAGCTTTACACGGTGGCAATTGTGTGGTTCAAACCAGAAGTACAAAACTGAGGCAGTGAAGAGGGATGAGGAACACTGAAAAGCAGGGTAAATGCAGAATAATGTATAAATGAAATGTATTTGGAGGCAAAAACGGTCAGGATAGAAAGAAATGGATAACCTATCTAGGGGTGCAAGACATTGGGGTAAAGAAAGAGAACTCAGTAGTCTCTCCCCTGGTTCATAATAGCAGTCAGTATGTCTGTGAAGGAACAAGGTAAGCATCTATTCCACAGACCATTCATTTGTTGAATTTCTGGGTCAAAGTTCAAAGCCCAAGCTGCTAATCAACATCACGGTGGTGGGGGTGAGGGTGGGGGCTCTGAAGTGCAAGAGAGTTTGTTTATGTTTGTACTTAAATTACTTTTGCTATGTTTAGTTTTAACAAAGGTCAAGTATAGGTCAGATCAAAAGTAAAATGCACAGGTTATATTATATATATATATGAACTGTGAATTAGGATTTTATTTAATAACAGTGCAATCATTTTAAAATTAGATCTATATTCCTAGTGGATATGTTTCCATTGCTTTATATGTATCCACATCCTCTCTGGTCAAGCTATCCTTTTTTTCCTTCTTACTTCTACATTAACCATCTTTCTTTTTTCATGTCTTCAGGGTTTTGAACATCAAATACTGAATTTAATATTAACAAAGCAGGCTAACAGCAGCACTTATCTGCTAATTGACATATGAGCTGGCAGGGAGAGAATTTATATTTGTTGTCTTATGATATTTACTTATTCATTGTTACAAAAAAAACAAACAAATCCAAGAGGGAAAAATAGTCTTTCAAATTTAAAAGGTCTATAATAAGGAACAATTGCCTCAATACTTTTTTCCTTTCCTTCTATCCCTTTCTGCATTTTAGTGATTAAGAAAAAAAAATGCAGTGTGGGCTGGAGATGTAGCTCAGTGGTAGAGCCCTTGCCTACCATGCACAAGACATACATATAAATATATGGAGCAGCTATGTTTTTAAAAAGAAAACTGTGTGTGCATGTGGGAGTTTTGTCTGCTCTTCTGCTCTGTCCATGCCTTCATGCCTTCATCTGCTATTACAGACAATACTACATGAAAACATGCTTCATCAAGAAGAGTCTTGAAAATACATGTGCGTGTTTCTCAAGGCAATTATCCAAAATTCAATTTATTAACTTTTAGTGAAAGTGGATGGGTTTGTTTATACAGAATTGTCCTTCTGTAAATAATGCCAAATACAGTTCTGTTCAGGATGTATCTATTATAAAGTATTGGACAATATAAATGTGGGCTAATATGCTCAAGAATTGAAACCATTTCCACTTCTTGTGCTAAGCAGGCTGCATATTCCTGGGCCTATTTGTTAAAAGCACTGAGACCAGAGTATAAGGTCAGGGTGTAGATCTGTTTACTTATGAATCATTAATTGCATAAATGTTAAGGACCAGCTGCTGATAACAAAGGCGTAGTACCCTAGCCACTTCCAAGTGCAATTAATTTTCCTCAGGGAAAACAGAAGTTGATAAACACATTTCATAATACAACATTTTAAATGAAAGGAGATAACTTCATAATATTTAGCTGCCTGTTTTAGCTTTGTAAGGAATGTCATGTTGTTTTGTAAAATTGTAATTATTTACATTGTGAATAAAATAAGAGTCAGTCTTAAAACGAAAGTCCTCCAGTCAGAACATGTTTTTTTGGTTTGGGGTTATTTTGAGTTTTGGTGAGGGGTGGGGTGGGGGGTGGGGGTGCAGCAGGTAAGTTAGGAAATAGCCTGATATAAAACTGCCTTTCTTCCCTCAGGAGATTACAATGCAGAAACCTCCAACTGTGAATGGGCTCCTCTGATCTTTCTTAGGACTATTTCACTATTATTTTGTAGCGTTCAAAAGGATGAAAAATATGTACGCATTTAAGGATAGCTAGCTACATGTTCTGCTCATTAAAAATTAAAATTCGCCTTCATTCTGAACACACATGATGTTAGAGTAACATATTCATTACTGATCTTGGTAGGGAAAGGGGTGTGTGTGTGTGTGTGTGTGTGTGTGTGTGTGTGTGTGTGTGTGTTTTCACAGCGAAACCTTTCCCATAGAGGTAGTCAACTTTTTGCAGTAACTTAACACAATGGCAAGAACTAAAGACCTTTAGGGGAAATATCCTGCTTATGTCAGATGCTATGATACATATGTTAATTAACTAGATGTCACAAGAAGGAAACCCGTCCCACCAGGGATTAGGGTTGGGGCTGATCCTTAGAAAGTAGAGACGCAGAGAGTGTTTCACTGTTTCTTGAAATCAAATCCTTGTTGCCAGGGTTTCATTGAGCTATTTGCATATCTGCTATATTCTGTGGCAAAGAAAGAGACTTTAAGGCTCCTTGAAAGCTCTTGGGTAAATCAAATAATTGAATTCTGCACGCTTCCACGCTTTGGGCAGAAAAGAAACAAATTTTTTGTCCTTTCCTTCAGTCTTCCTCTCCATTGGTAAACAGCAGAGGATTCACTCTTAAGAAAGTTGCTCAATAGCAAGGAGGACACCCAGGGGAGTTCGAGGAAGTTATCGCAAAAAGCGCATTTTCTGGAGTGCACCTAGGATGGTAGGTCTGGCAGGTGGGGGTGGGGGTGGGGGGTGGGGGGGAGTGGTCTCAACCAAAGAAAGGCACGCCTGCATTTTGAAGCTACTCACCCTTCTCCGCTGTCCTCCGAGTCGCTGTCTGAGGCCCACTCCTCACCGATGTCCGGCAAGGTGAAGACCAGTGTTTTGGGGCCAGGCTCAGAAGGGATCCAGGAACTGGGCTCTCGCTCTCCAGGGCCAGGCTGGCGAGGGTTCCGAGGGCTCGCGACTATACTGTTGTCCCCCGCAACAGAGGGCAGAGCAGCCCAGACTCCTCCAAGGCCAGGGGGTGGCCGTGCCAGGGCCCCCAGGTGGGCGGGGGAGCTGGTGGCCCTGTAGCCGCCGCAGGGGGGAGGCAGGGGCAGAGGCTGGACTTTCGGTGTTCTTGGGCTACCCGGTAATGAAAAGGGGGACCTTAAGGCTTCTGCCGTGCGACTAGCGGCAGAGACCCTGGGGTAGGAGGCGGTGAGCAGCGGGTGCCACGACGTGGCGGGGCCACGGGAGGCGGAGGAGGAGTCCGGAGCTAGCGAGGGTAAGAGGGTCAGGGTCGGGGTCGTGCTAAGCGAAGTGCCCCCGCCAGAGCCCGCTGATCCCGAGGCAGCAGCACCTCCCGAGTGTCCGGAGGAGGCGACCAGAGAGGGAACCTCGGGGGACGCCGTCGTCGAAGTCTTGAAGATTTTGGCAAAGAGAGACCCAAGGTCCAACACAGCCACCTTCATGACTTGACCTTGGAAAGGTCCTCGCTGCTGCCAGAAGCCCAAGAACACCAGGAGCCGTGCGGCAGGGCTCCATCCACGGCCGCCCGCAGGGATCTGGACGAGGCGATCCCGGGTGCCAGCGAGGATCTGGGACACGGTGGAGTCCTGGTGGCCTCTGGCTCTCTCTCCACCCCTAAGAAACCTTCTTCGGAGGCTCAGCTCCGCAGGGTTGGAGTTGGGATAGACCTTCGGAGTACAGACTGACCCACCCACAGGGGGCTGAGCTGTGGGGATCCGCAGTGGGAAGTCGGCCACCCTCCGCGAGGAGCAATGCGTCGTTCTGTGTCCCTGTGCCGGGACACCTCTGAGGGTCAGGGGTCCGGGAACCCAAGGAGTCCGGGAACCCAAGGAGTCCGGACCTACTGTTGCTGCTGCCAGCAGCACCGAGGGCTTAGGGTGTAGATGGGGCTTTGACTTGCTTGGAGATACCACGACAGGCCCCAGGGACCGGCAGGCGGTTGCTAAGCTAAACAGAACCTGGCTTAGCTCACCGCTAATTGGGCCCCAGGATTGTAGCTGGGCTGTGTCTGCAACGGAAACACTGGCTTCCCTCCTTGGTTCATGCCTTAAAGAAACAGTCTCAAATTTCTCCATCCCTCTTAGCTTCACCAGATTCAGCAGGCTCAGGGTGAGAGAGAGGAAGCTGCACACAGCCCTGGGAAACTCAATCCTGGTTCCAAAAGGTTCTGGAATTCATTCAGTCTGACCAGGCCAAAGGTGATATGGTCAGAGTCAGTCAGGTCTCTGATGTGGGGAAGGTGGGTAAAAATATGTATTCAGGGGAGTACACTTGAAATGGCAGTGCCCACGGTCCCCATCCCTTTGAGGGTCATGTTCATAGTGGGTTACTAAAGATGATACATGGGAACAACAGTGAGGTGCTTTATCCAAGAACTTGGAGATAAAATCAAAATCGGACATAAAAGAGTTGAATTAGTAAAATCCATAGATAGTGTCTATGTTCAAACACCTATTAGAGTAGACCAAGAAAGTGTATAGCTTAGATGTTTAAGAACTGTAACTAATCATGCTGACTAAATACAAACTACAGATTCAAAGACAGGAAAGGGGTGAGCTCTTAAAGGGAATAAACTGCATTTTGCTTAATTTGAGGGAAAGTTTGTGAACAGTAGCATGGTGTATGAGTGTGAACATCAACAGCACGGCAGGGATAGTACTGAGCAAGGTTTAAAAAAGATATTGACAGGGTTTATCCATTGATTTCAGGGGGTTCTGTTTTTATCTCAGAAGATGTATTTTCTGGCCTGAGGCAAGGAAAAGAGAGTAAATTTTATAGTGAATAAAATAAACTGGCATTTGCAACTATATGCTTTAATCTTTAAAAAAGTTATCAAACTGGATTCTGAGCCATGGTACATTTCCATGGCAATGTCAAGCTTTGCGTTCTTTTGTAGACAGCTAGCTACTTCCCGCTTATGACACTGACAACTTGTTGTAATCACTTTTCTGCATCCAACCATCCACAACAAACACGTTCTAGGCACTTTTCTTCTTTGAGATTGCATTCAGCTCTGAGAGGCAAAGAATCTGTGCTCTTCCCAGAGCATGGGATAATCAGCTTCATGTCATATGCTAGGTGTCAGGGGAGCATCCCAGAAAACAAATACAGTTGGTGGCAATCACCACAGTCACCATTAACTTGGAGAAAGCAGAGAGTTTGTGTGTAAGAGAGTAATAAGAGATGTAGCAAGGAGGTCAGATCATAATTAGAATTGGACAAGGCAAGGGTATGCAGTTGTCAGCATGTAAGGCACACGATAAAGAATCAAAATGAGAGAAAGAGAAACACAGACACATCCAAGAGCAGCAACAGAAACCAGAGATAGAAGTGTCAGGGAGCTGTGCCACCTCTGTGAGTGACAATGCCAGGCTGACCCACCACCATTTTCCATGTTCTCACAGTTCTTCTGTAGCAACTCACCAAGGAGTGTCCAAAGTGTGGAATGTCCATCGGACCATTGGACCTTTTTCAAACACCACTTCAGTATTGAAAAGTAGTTTCTAATTTTGATTCTGATTCATAGGGCAGTTAAATCCTTAGTATTAGGTCACTCTTTATGCAAGTGGAGATCATTTCTGAAGTAGGGTTTTCAGAGTCTAATCTACTAATCTTAGCCTGATTGATTCTGAACATATGTAATGTAATTTGAAGGAATAGGCAGCGAGGGAGGGCCATAGTGAGTAAAGCCTGATTAAACTCATTCCATTTGTCTTGGAGGCAGCACTGTTTACTGGGACATCTCAGGATTCTCGATTTTTCAGGCTCAGCAATCTGGCCCCTCCTGAGCACAGCTGACGAGCTTCTTAGGATAAATGAAGCTCCACTAACCTGATTCATTAAACACTGATTCAGAGTGTTGCATCTTCTGCTCTTTCTCTAGTAGGGGAATTCCTGTTAAGACCAAATTAGTTGGAATAATTTTAGGTGAGCCTGGGATCCATGCAAGGACGGGCAGAGGATGTCATTTGGTTTACATATGAGGAGCATTAGCCTTAAGAGCCAATCATGCTCCATCCAAAAGGAAGAGCAACTGTACCTGAACAGTGGTACATTAATCACCTGTCTGATGGTAGATATTTCTATCCTTTATTACTAATCACTTCCCTTCTGCGGATATGAATACTATTAATAAAGCAACACAAAAAGCTATTAGCTCTTCCAGATTCCATCCTTGAAAGTATCCTCTAAGGGATGTTTGCACGTATATGTTATGAGTTGAATTGTATCCTCCAAAGGGATATGTTGAAGTCCTCACTCCCAATTCATGTAAATGTGACCTTATTTGGAGTCTGTATAGATGCACAGTAGATTTCCCTTATTCGTGGGGAATACATTCCAATACCTCCAGTGAATGTATAAAACTGAGCATAGTACCAACCCTTACATGTACATATCAATATATGTTTCTACATACAGACATACCAATGAAAATTGTAACAGGCACAGAAAGAGAGTAGAAACAATAGTTGGTAATAGACTAGAGTAATTATAACAATATACTATAATAAGTGTTATGTGAATGATTGATTTTTTGTTTTCTCTCTAGAAATATATTTTTTATTTAATTGAATTTTTTGGTACTGGGGATTGAACTCAGAGACACTCAACCACTGAGCCACATCCCCAGCCCTATTTTTTGTATTTTATTTAGAGACAGGGTCTCATTGAGTTGCATAGCACCTTGCTTTTGCTGAGGCTGGCTTTGAACGTGAGATCCTCCTGCCTGAGCCATCCAAGCTGCTGAAATTACAGGCATATGCCACTGTGTCCAGCCTTCTAGAAATATCTTAATTCCTAATTGCACTATACTAATATTTTTGGATTGTGGTCAACACCAGGCAATTGAAATCTAGAAAATAAAGCTGGATTGAGGGTGGCTAGTGTAATCAAGTTAAGTTGAGGTTGTTAGGAGGGTCCAGTTTGTGGAAATTTGTTATGACAACCCTAGGAACCAGACTAGTGAATATTTAGTTAATTTGGAGGGCACTTTAGAATCATAGTATTTTTCTGATATTTCTATGAAAGTCTTCAGTGGGTGTATTTGCTCTAAAAAGTTGGCTACAAATTAAAATGATAGTCATAATTTTACAGGTCAAATCTATAGGGAGAATGACAGAAATTGTAAACAGGAGCTGGCAGGGGAGGGGGCGGGAGTGCCATTGTTGGGTAAGGTAGTGGTTGTAGCCTTCTGAACAGCCAGCTGGTGAAAAGGGACATGAAGGAATGATTGATCCTTTTGCTTGAAGGTCCTTCCTTTGAAAACGACCTACAATTGCAAACATGCTAAATGATTCTTAGCAAGATGCTAGGTCTTTCATGACCATTGTTCATCCATCAACAGTCTTTCAGCCAGACATTAGATGCTCCGGGCTTCTCCATTAATTACCACAGCATGCCATTCTATTAGTGGTGAGTCTTAAGTGATGTGACATAATGGTCTGGCTCAAGTCATTATTTCAAGAATAAGAAAATGAACCAAAATACAATAAATCATTATATCTACCTATAACAGTGTTTATTTTAGACAATTAGAAATGTCAAAGTAATGTTTTATGTGATAAAATTCTTCTGCTTATCTTGGTTAGTTAAGAATTTGATTATTTTTCTGATGTGCATGACAATGCTTCACTATATGATTGAGAAAGTATTAGGAGCTATGACCATACTGCTATGAAGAAATGTTGTATTTTGGAAACATGAAAGTTAAAACAGATAACCAGAATAATTAATTGAATTTTTATGAAGTGAAATTGCCTTACTTAGTATGACACTAAGACCAGAAACTTTAAAGAAAAATACTGTCAAATTTGATGATAAAACTTTCAAAATTTCTGAACAATAAGAGATATTTTTTGATTTTATAAATATTTACTAAGCACCACAGAGAGGCATCACAGTATGATAGACTCTGGGGCTAGAATGTCTAAGTTCATATTCTGTCTCTGCCATTTACCAACAATAAAGCTTCTCTGTTGTGACACATGACTAAACTAGTCAGGGTCACTCCAGGTGAGCTGTGCTGGCACGAAATAATCACACAGAAACAGAGAAATGCCTTTTTCTTTGGGTTCTGTGACAGCTCCTCTGACCCAGCTCCCACAAAAGAGGCAAGGCAGGTAAGAAAGAGAGAGGAGCACATGATGAACCCTTTTTTGGGGGAGAAGCCATTCAAAGGAGGCAAGGGGTCAGGTTTCAGGGGGTTGAATCTAGCTTCCTGAAGTCTTGTTGTCAGCAGTTTGACTGACATCTAGGAAGGCCACACCCATCTCATGTGCTATGTGGAGATCATAGGCAGAATGAGCAAAAAGATCTTTACGTTGATATAAAATCAACACCCATAAATCAAAGGCATTTCTGTACATCAGTGACAAATCCACTGAAAGTGAAACTAGAAAAACCACCCCATTTACAATAGCCTAAAAAAATTAATAAATAAAATAAAATACTTGGGAATAAATTTAACAAAAGAGGTGAAAGACCTCTACAATGAAAACTACTACACGCTAAAGAAAGAAATTAAAGAAGACCTTAGAATATGGAGAGATCTAGAGATCTTCTTGGATAGACAGAATTAATTGTCAAAATGACCTTACTACCAAAAGCACTATACAGATTCAATGCAATCCCAATCCAAATCCCAATAGCATTCCTTATAGAAATAGAAAAAGCAATTATGAAACTCATCTGGAAAAATAAGAGACCCAGAATAGCCAAAGCAATCCTTAGCAAGAAGAGTGAAGCTGGTGGCATCACTATTTCAGACCTAAAACTATACTATGGGCAATAGTAACATAAACAGCATGGTATT